TTTTTTTTTTTCTTTCTCAAACTATGTGCTGCTGTTAAAAACCAAAACAAAACCAAACAGCAGCTGCGGACTTGTCCCCGGCTGGAGCCCAGCGCCCCGCCTGGAGTGGATGAGCCTCTCCATGAGAGATCCGGTCATTCCTGGTACAAGCATGGCCTACCATCCGTTCCTACCTCACCGGGCGCCGGACTTCGCCATGAGCGCGGTGCTGGGTCACCAGCCGCCCTTCTTCCCCGCGCTGACGCTGCCGCCCAACGGCGCGGCGGCGCTCTCGCTGCCGGGCGCCCTGGCCAAGCCGATCATGGATCAATTGGTGGGGGCGGCCGAGACCGGCATCCCTTTCTCGTCCCTGGGGCCCCAGGCGCATCTGAGGCCTCTGAAGACCATGGAGCCCGAGGAAGAGGTGGAGGACGACCCCAAGGTGCACCTCGAGGCCAAAGAACTTTGGGATCAGTTCCACAAGCGGGGCACCGAGATGGTCATTACCAAGTCGGGAAGGTAAGCACGTAGCAGGGCCCCCTCCCCCAAGCTAATGGAGGTGTTTTCTTCTCCCCCCCACTTTGCCTTTATCTCTCTCTGTTCCCAGAATACCCGGTTTGCCAGTTACTCGGGTTTAGGCAAAACTTAGTTCCCCTGGAACCAGGTACAGACATTCCCCGGCCCCTGCCCCACGGGTCAGGAAATTTCAGCTTACCTGGCCCTTTGCAGCCCTAGTTTTTCCCACCTCGGTCCTCACCCTGGATTCCCTACAGGCTAGACAGGATTTTTCCAAGGCACTCAGACATCTCCTGCAGGAAGAAAGAAAACCACCCCATGGCAGGAAGTTCGCTGTTCAAACCTTTCTGGAACATCCTTATGTCTTTGTTGATGTTCTGGGTTTTGTTTGTTTCATTTTGTTCCCAGCGAGAAAAACTTCACTGCCCTTTTCTTTTGTGTGGTGGTGGGAGACCCCGAAGCTGGCTCTCCATTTGCCCTTTCTGCTCTCCAGCCTAGCCTCTGGGTCTGCAGGGGGGCCTGCGCTGGCCTCCGGCAGGGTCACAGAGAAATGGAAGGGCATTTGGGTTTGTTTGTCTACACTGCTTCACGTGTCCGTAATCCGAGGGAGAGTTTAGGCAATTTTGGATAATTAAGATGATGTTTGCAGATCCAAGTCCCCTGGAGAGACACATGCTGCTTTTTTCTATATTACCAACCATATTTTATATAACGAAAAGGTCCTTGCCTCACCGAAACCTGCCTGTCCCTTAAAATCAATGATTTTTTTTTTTTATGGCATTGAAGTCCATCAAGGCATAGTGTTGGAATAATAAAAATAAACTCCCTCTCTTGAGGGATGTCTCGAGTTTTCGGTATCTTTCCTAGCAAAATGAGGCCAAAGCTGGGCACAAAAATTCTCTAAACCCAGAAGACGTTACCTCGGTTTCACAGCGAAGTGCTTCCTTTCGAGTCAGGACCGTGGGTTGCCACCGCTTCTGGGAAATAAAAAGCTGTTGGTGGTACAGCCTTGCCTTTCGGGACGGGCCCGAGCCAGGGGAGAAATGTGGTTAGCAGCATGCCAGGCAGATTGGTTATCGGGCCCAGAAGTCCACCCCAAACTACAGAATTCGTTTTGAGAACTCACTGAAGGCCGGTTTCATTTCCCCCAGAGGTGGGTTCGCTGCTCCGTAGCAGGGAAGCTGGACGTTTATTTCCTTGATAAATTTAATTTTTTCTCAGCAGTGGCGAATTCTAGCCTTGACTGACCCCACTTTAAGTAAAATCCTACCCCTAGCTGTTTAGAAGTAGACACTCCGGGGACAGGGGGGAAAGGCCAGAATTTCTCTGTAAAGAGGGCCATCTGTGAAGTCCTACAAGAGGAAAAAAATTGTGGAGAGATTATTAGACGCTGTAGAGAAAGGGAGTGCCATAATTCACTTGTTTTGAACCTTGAGACATTTCACCGTAGAGAAATTGAGGGTACTTAACACTTCTGTCGTGGAAGGATATGATATTGCCCTCGGTGGCCTTCCTCTGAAACAGAAACTCCTCAATCACAGCAGAAAGTTTTGAATCTGATTGAAATATTTCAGGGTAAACAGGGACTCAAACCCAAGAGTCTGAGCCATTTCTTTTTCTCTTCCCTTGCTGTTGTAGGCGAATGTTTCCTCCATTTAAAGTAAGATGTTCTGGGCTGGATAAAAAAGCCAAATATATTCTATTGATGGACATTATAGCTGCTGATGACTGTCGATATAAATTCCATAATTCTCGGTGGATGGTGGCTGGTAAGGCTGACCCTGAAATGCCAAAGAGAATGTACATTCACCCAGACAGCCCGGCTACCGGGGAACAGTGGATGTCCAAAGTTGTCACTTTCCACAAACTGAAACTCACCAACAACATTTCGGACAAACACGGATTTGTAAGTTTCACCGCTCAGTAAAATTTTCTCTTTCTTCACCTTAGCAAAGGCAGCGCTTCCCCTGGCCTTGTAAAATCACAGGTTTCTGCTCAGGCTTCTCCCTTGCCCTCTGTTGCTAAGTGTAGCAAAAGTTGTTCGATCGGAAACAGAGCCAGAGAGAGGATTCCGGGGTGTTTCTCTTTGGATAATGGAAGGCCTGGCGCTCTAAAAGAAACGAGGGCGAGAACACTCACCACTCGCGTTCTGTGGCAATTCCAGGTCTTGGTAAACGCCTGACAGTGAAGTTAAAAACCAATTGTTAAGCTACAAAATCAATTTTAAAGTTATGTGTCTGCCAGGAATTTGTTTTGAGCTATCCTACTTCTGTTTGGAAACGAGCCTTATTATTTCTTGGGCGGGGGGTTAAGGTTCAGAGCCCTGGCTACGTTGGTTTAAAAGGGTGTGAGTACATTTTTGGAAAGATTTTTTTTTTT